AAAAAAAAAAAAAAAAAAAAAAAAAAAAAAAAAAAAAAAAAAAAAAAAAAAAAAAAAAAAAAAAAAAAAAAAAAAAAAAAAAAAAAAAAAAAAAAAAACAAAAAAATGTTTTCAGGTACTGTTAAGAATGCATATGATACAATAAAATACTCAGCACTGTTAATACACCTCATGTACATCTGTTTGTACTAGCATGGGAAGCTGTCCATGATGTAGTATTAAATGCATATTCAAGTTGCATGACATATATGACAAGATGCACGTACCTTTTACTTCTTTAAATGTTTAATTCATTCATCCAACAGAAAGTTTTTTAAAATGTATCAGTTGTATAGCTTACATTGTAGTTTCTCACACCTGTTCTCCTTTTTGTATCCTCTTCCTTCTACTGGAATTTCTTTTCTGCCTAGTGAACTTCTATTTATTCTTTTAGAACTTAACTAAAACATCATCTGTGAAACTCTCTGATGCTCCCAGCATAACTGGTCCTTTTCCTAAGCATGGTGCCCTCTACACTCATAGCATTGTCTTGTAATGATTTATTTATATATCTGTTCTCACACTAGATAGTGAACTCTCTCATCACCCACCAGGGGTTCTGGCCTCAACTGAACTGAAGAATAACTATTACATCATGTTGCTCCAGGCCGTTAGTTGATATGCATAAAGCATTTTGAGCGCTCTTTTATCTCCTGCATTTGATAAAATAACATGTGTTTTGTGATTTCAGTTCTTTATCCATATGATTATTAAGGTATTTTTAAAACAGCATTATTGAGGAATAATTTGCATACCATAAAATTCATCCATTTTAAGTGTGCAATTCAATGATTTTTAGTAAGTATACAGAGTTGTGCAGTAATCATTATATTCCAGTTTTAGAACAATTTAATTACCCCAGGAAAATCTAAACTGAGTTATTTTAACATATTGATGGAATGGTTCAAAAACTTCTGTGTGGTGAGTAAAACTGGATGACCTTAAAATGTGTCACTGTTTTTGGCTCTTAGCTGTCTGGGGCACACCACACCTAGATACTTGGTGGTGCTGCATCCTAAAGGGATAGTGTGAGCTGACAAAAGGGACACTAATTTCCCTTCAGAGGCTCCTCTGTGGTGTGATCTGAGCTAGGTCCATTATATATACATAACATATACATATATATATGTTACCTCATTTGAGATTCAGAATATAATAACCTGTGATGTAGATACCCTCTTCATTTAATGCATAAGGACTCTGCAGGGGAGGATAAAGAACGAACTTAGGGTCACACCCCTTGTTAGTAGAAGGGTTGGGATTAGAACTTTGGCCTGACTACATACCACACTTGCCTTAAACATTCAGTTGCTATGTAGTGAGCAATTATTATGTGCTTCCATAAAAAGAAAAATCTGAGGAAATGTGCAAGCAAATTTGAAGAGTTATTATGTAATATGAGAAGAAGAGAAAGTGTCACTATGTTGAAAGGATAAACTCTGATACCAGCTTTTCCTTTGACTTGTTCCATAAAGTTTGGTTTGAAGCCCAGTGGGCACATATTTGATTGAATCAAGCAAACCTAGAAAAGAGAAGATATAGGAGGACTATGTTTTAAAAACTTTACAATATTGAGGCTGTTTGGGCTGTCAGTGTAATTTCTGATTGGGTTTACTTTGGGGATTGCTTTTTATTTTGTCCTAAATGTTAACATTGGTCAGTCTTTATCAACACAAATGGTCAATTTTATTAGCTAGAATTTTGGTTTAGCTCCTATATCAGAGATCTAGTATTAACTTAAACAAAATAGAAATGTAATTCTCTCTCAGATAAAAAGCTGAGTGGGTAGTCAAGGTTTGGCATAGCAGCTCCACCATTGTTAAGGATCCTGCCTTTTTAAAGTCTCATTGCTCTGCCACCATTAGCACTTGGCTTTCATCTTGGGGACTACAATGGCTAGTTTAGCTCCTTCCATCACCTCCACATTCTAGCCACCAGGAAGAAAAAAAGGTGGAGAAGAAGACATAGATTTTTTTCCCCCTTTAAGGGCATAGCTGAGAAGTTGCATTTATTACTTCTCTTCACATCTTCTTAGATAGAATATAGTCCTAAGGCCACACATAGCTGCAAGAGAGGTTGTAGACAATGTGGTTTTTAGGGGCGGGGCACTAAGTGTGGGAAAGAAGCCAAAAGTCCAACTGAAAATTCAGCTGCTGTGTGTTAAGGAATGAGTGAATGTTGGCTGATGGTTGGCAATCTCTGCCCTGTCATGCTATTAAAGTGAATTTAATATGCAACATATAGACTTGCATGTGAGAAGGAGGGAGATACAGAATGCTTTAGGCCAGACTCTCTTTTATGGTTTCTCCTTTTTTATCTGGGCCAGAAGATTTTGCCACATCCAGATACTTCTGTTGAAATAGTTCCCGTATGCTTTGAAGACACTATTTCGTTTCAAAACAGTCTATCTGTTAAGATGCGGTGTCAGCTTGAACTCATGTTTTTACTGAAAAGTGTATGATATAACTCCAGAGTTGACACCTGGATGATGTCCACATAGTTTACCTTGGTAAAGTCTGGATGACATTTTTTTTCTTCAGATTATTTCTAGGAAAAAAATTATCTTTTCATCAGAATACTGTCTGTTTTAATTAATAGTATTATTCAAGATAAAGCCTAAAATTTCTATGCTTGGCATGCATTCAAACCTTATTACTACAAAACAGAATTGTTTCTTAGAAAACTGATGACATCCAGGAATCAGGAATTCAGTTCTAATCTCAGTACTTAACTACGTTGTGATCTTGACTAAGCCATTGGCCTTCTGAACTTTTCTCGGTTAATAATATTTCAAACCAGAGTTTAGACGTAGCCTCTCTCATTATATTGTATGTATTTAGTCAACAGTTATGAAGTCCTTAAAAAATGCAGATGTCAAAAAATGCAGATGTCGGGGCTGGCCCTTGGCTCACTTGGGGGAGTATGGTGCTAATAACACCAAGGCCAAGGGTTCAGGTCCCCATATAGGGATGGCCAGTTAGTTCACTTGGGACAGCGTGGTGCTGACAACACCAAGTCAAGGGTTAAGATCCCCTTTAAAAAAAAAAAATGCAGATGTCACCTTTTCATTGTTGGTTACTGGGCATCACAGATAACTTTAACTTTCTTTAAGGATGAGTTTTACTCACTATTAGCTTGACCAACAAGAGAAATCAATATGAGATATGCTTAATATTTGCCAGCATGTCACTTTATGGCATTCTCATAAAGGTTTTTTTTTATTAGAAAAGATTTTTTGAGCTCTTGAGATTAGAAAGCTTAAGTCATCTTGGTACACAGTTATTTCTTGCGATAATAATATGTCCTTTTCTGAGAATGCATTTTGGAGACGTAGATTTCACCATAAATCCTTTATTATTTGAAGATCTCTGTGCCAGTATTGTATTTCAGGCAAGACTAATTTTAGCCAAATTCACTGAAAGTATTATGAGAGTTATCTCCAGTAATTTCATCTGGTTCCTTTTTATGTACTCTCGATACAGCCAATCTATACAGAGTATATAAAATAAGCTGATGTCTGTTGAAATGGTTAGTGGTTTCATGATTTCCTACTTTTTTGTGGAGGTGAGTTTTCTCCACTCTTTGTTGCTTCCATCCTCGACCATCATTAATGTTTTGTTTTCTCTTTTGCAGATGACACAACTGGTGCTGCCCAACATGGTAGAAAGGTGAGTCATGAGCTCACACACAAACACTGCAGAGGCAGAGCTCATTATTATTTATAGGGAGAATCCTTTCTTTGAGAAGCTCATTAAGGTGACTAATGAACCTAGCCTGCATGTCTTAGTGACAGAGCAATGTGCCAGGCAAGTCACACGGTAGAGCATGAGTCATCAGTGGTGGAGGCCTTTTCCACTCAATTCCCTTTTTATTTCCCTCTCTAGGGTTGTAGTGGTTCCTTTAGATCAGGATTAAAAAGGCTGTCTGAGTCACCGTAACTAACTCAATTGCGTGCTATTCTGAGGGGGTGGATAGAGTTCCTGGGATATTCCCAGGAATGACTTCTTAAAGCTGTATCCTCCCAGAGTGCCAAAATCAGCAGTGTTTCATGAAGCATGACTCCATCCTCTGACTTTTCAGTTCTTCTGGGAGAATGGATATATGAGGAATTTCGGCACGATATAAAAAGGTTATAAGATGTCAGTCCTTGGAGGAAAAGGTGATGTCCACTGGCTCAATATATATTCCAGTTTGAATTGGATTCTACCAAGATATGCTAGATATCTTCATTTTTATTGAGAAATGTGTTTGAGAGTTCTTACATTTGAAATAGCATGAAATGTAAGATTGTAATTAAGCGCTGTTCATTCCTTAGAAAAACCTGAATGACGGATAGGCCTCCAAAAAAAACCTGCTACAAAGAGCTGGGCTTGCATTTTGAACTAGCTTTATCATTTGCTGAATTTAGGGCTTCACAGTCATCATTTCCTTGCAAAATAGCTTTGAGTTTGGGAAAGACCCAAAGGAATCACAGCTTTGAAAAGGGAAGACCTGAGGACTCTACTTCTGTTAAGAAACCTTTATGACCAGCTGCAGGCAGGGATTACAGCTTATGTTTATTGAATACATACTGTGTGCCAGCTGTTGTACTGCCAACTTGGTATGTGCTAACTCATCTAACATTGATAGCCTCCCACCATTGTACAGATGAGGAAACTGAGATTAGGATTATGTTTGTTGAATATCTACAGAGACTGACAATGAAACTTTCTCAGCAAGACACTCTGTAATGTTCTTTTATATGTACTGTTTTGCATATTTTTTTTTTTTTTGTCTTTTTCTTTGTCCGGCCACGGATCGCAACCCTCAGTGTTGCCCCCGTACCGGACCGGGGACCGGCAACGGGATCGCAACCCTCGGTGTTGCTCCCGCGCCTCGCTCAGCCAGTGAGCGGGAACGGGTCTGTATGTGGGATCCGAACCCTCGGGCGGGAGCGCCGCCGCGCTTCCCAAGCGGCGCACTATCCAGTGCGCCACCGGGCCGGCCCCTGTTTTGCATATTTTAATTGCTTTCTTTTAGTAACATTTCTCTTTACAGCCTTCAAACTGCTTGTTGTTGGTTAACAGCGGGGGTGGGCCCCTGATGGTCAGATATGGAAATAGCAGCGGTCAAACCAGACCAGAACCCTAGAAGATAGCATAGTCAGGGCAGACAGAGAAGAACCCAATAGGGATGAAATTTGGGCCATCATCTTAATCTTAATTTTGACATCTGCCTGTGACATGGTATTAGTTCAAGACAGTAAATCCATCCATTAAAAAAGAAATACTTATAAATCACAGAGATCTTATAAAAGGAAGTTTTAAGTGGGTTGGTGAAAACTATATCAAAACAGAGAATGGTTGTGAAATCATTTTGCAGAGCATAAAGTATTGGACTCAAAGAGTCATAGAAATCCAGTGCTTTAAATTAATTGAAAGCAACCACTCTCATTTGACAGGTGAAATATTTGAGGCCCAGTGAGACAGAGTGCTGTGAAGCCACACAGTTAGTGAATGATACAAATGTCAGGGGCCGGCCCGGTGGCGCACTGCGCTAGTGCGCCGCTTGGGAAGCGCGACGGCGCTCCCGTCGAGGGTTCGGATCCCACATACAGACCGGTTCCCGCTCACTGGCTGAGCGAGGCGCGGGGGCAACACCGAGGGTTGCGATCCCGTTGCCGGTCCCGGTCCGGTACGGGGGCAACACTGAGGGTTGCGAACCGTTGCCGGACACGGAAAAAGACAAAAAAAAAAAAAAAAAAAAAAAAAAAAAAAAAAAAAAAAAAAAAAAAACAAATGTCAGGAGCTCGGAACTTTTCTGTAGACCTGGCAGCCACTGTCACAGTTATAGTGGAGCATTAGATAAAAAACAAACAGTGCAAAGAAAGAAATCTGTCCATTCAACATGCAGTATTGAGTAAAGTTTATCACGGAGTGTATACAAGATGAATTGGATCCTTTAAGAAATCCAGTTGACTTTAAACTTAAGGTTGAGAAATTATATGTTAGAAAGCCATCAGAAGCTATGGACTGAATGTGATTGTGGTACTTGCTAAGAACTAGTAAAAATGTACGTGGATTTTATGAATCAGGACTTTTGATTAAGAGAAGGAACATCTGTGTCCACTTAAACTTAAGGAGTTACTAGGTATATCAGTCAAGGTAGACTAACTGCTGTAACCGCCCCTTAACCCCTGTAAATCTCCTTGGCTTAACACTATAAGGTTTATTTTTCTCTCACATCTCTACCCAGTCATTCAGGGATCTGAGACTCCTTCCAACTTGGGGCCCTGTCATTCTCTAGGGTCTTGGAATTCTCCTCTGCATCCAGCCAGCAGATGAGGGAAGAGAGTAAGGATGATTTTAGGGGAGATTTCATGGGTGAGCCCTGGAAGTGCTGTACATCATTTCTGCCCACATTCTATTGTCCAGAACTCAGTCACAGGCTATAACTAATGGCATGGGAGGCTAGAAATGTTAGTTCTCTGCCCAAGAGGAAAGAAAACCTCCAAGTTAACAGATCACCTGAAAGAGTTCTTACTTGCCACATTATAAGTGGTTTCATTTTAGCCTGCTGTTTACACCACCCCAAAATGCCATATTTCCTATAGTTGATCTCCAAAGCATTGGTATCTCCACTAACAGCAGAGTCCTTTATAAAGATCCTTTGTTATTGTTGTTTTCCTTTCACTCTTATGAATGAGAGTTTCCAAATCCTCTAGCACTATCGCCTAGGGCTATCACTAAACAAGTATCTATAATCAAACTAAGGTATTATTACCATAGAAGTAGAAAGTGCACAATTACATTATAGGGAAAACTTGCTCTTTCCACTTCCCTGGAATTATAAACATTGTGTACAGCTGGAGCCAGGAGGTGGTTGCCATAACAACCATGGAAAAGCTAAAAATAGCCTCTTTCATACTGTATTGCTTAAGGTGGAATTATGACATGTTATAGTGTTTCGGGGCAGGTAATTTTCTTTCATGTTCTAAGTGTTTGCAAACTTTCTTATACAAAGCAGTATTTGTATAATGTAAGTGTTTGGATTGCTGCTTCCAATTATATACCTGACCCATGTGTTCCAGGATTCTTTTTTAACATAAAACTCTTTTTTGCTATGTTTCTCAGTCTTCTTGAGAGTCTGTTAGAAAATTGTCTGAACCAATGTTACTATTGTATTTAAGATTAAAAAATATATAATGACCCTCCAAGAGCATGCCTATGTGCTCTTTCCCTGATATGAAGTGACAATGTGAAGAATTGTGATGGGGTCTTTTTTGCACATTCTCCCTCGGCCATCAAACTCCATATACAGTTAGCTGTCCATGGTAGGATTGATCTTGTGGTTCCAGTTCTTCACAGCAGCACTTACACCTCCCCACCTCTCTCTCCTTACCTGCAGTGTGGGGCGGTGACGAGGGTCCTGAGGAAGGCGGGAATCAGTGATTTATTTCAAAGGATACCTATTATTTCTTATATGACAGCAGTATTTTTATGGAGGTGTGGAAAAGAATACTGCAACAGTCTGATAGAATACTGCGGCATTTATAGAATAAAGCCTTGGTGGGTTTTTTTGTTTTCTTTTTTTTTTTTTTAGCCAGGTGACAATTAAAGAAAGTCTCAGTGGAAATTTCACAGGTCTGAGGGAGCATGGCTATAGGAAGCTATAAATGCAAGGTACGAAACTTTACAAAGTTGGGCGAGTTTAATGTTTGGCTTGTGGGAGGGCTAGTAATTGAAGAAAGTGTTTGTATGGAAAAGGTGCTTCCATATCAGCATTTGGTGTTTTCTGCTTTGTTTTTCCAGTATTTTCATTCTAGCAGATCCTTAATAATTTGTGCCACTGAGACACCATTGTATGGCTGTTAACAAGTAAGCAGTGTGATGAATTAAGAATGTTGCATCACAGAAAATATTACTTGACTTTATTTGGATAATTGTCATAACAAACTAGGAAATGTGCCGAAGTATGAGCAACATGAGTCTTCATTATAGAACTTCAGCAGAAATTCTTAATGTACCTTCCAATCTTAGAATTGTTCCCAAGTCCCCGGAAAATGAGATATTAACCAGGGTTTGGCTTTATGTTTGTTTCCGTGTGCAATTAAGTGCAGCCCATTTTGTCCTTCTGCTTGATATAACAGAGTTGTCATGAGTCTGGCTGTGCCATGGAAACTGGTTTGACGTCACTAATTCTGCTTAGATGGAGGATTAGAGCTAGACAACATAGCTGATTTTAAAGACAAGTCCTTTGTGCCTCGCAATCCCAAATGTTCATCACCATTTCTACATAAAGAATAGATACTGTATACAGTACAAGACTTAAAACAGGCTATACGAGTGTGTTAGTTATGATTCAGAAAAAACTAAGTTGAATATTATTATCCTTGGAGAGAAAGAGAAAATTGTACAGTGGTGTGTATGTGCACGTGTGTGTGTGTGTGGGAGGAAGGTTTTTGCTAGACAAATATCTGTGCTTGATGGTAGAACAGGGATTTATAGAGGGGGTGTTTACTTTCATTTTGGAACAGTTATAAGTGCTATCCTTTTATTTACTTAGGTCTAGTGCATCTTGCTTTATACTTTGCTGATCTTAGATTTGTTTTAATGTATTTTAGAGTACAAATAATGTGTTTTGTATAAAGCACGCTAAAATTCTGATTTTTCCCTAATTCAAAGTAGCTCTACCCCTTAGAAATTTTAAATCGAGGTAGAATATTTGAGAAACAAAGATGTTAATTGCCTCAAGGAGTAAACAAGTAAAGGAGCATGACTGCATAATTGTGACATATTGGATTATTGGTCTGTATTATTTTTGAAAATGGGAAAGAGGCTTTTATTATTTTTAAATGACTTTTCCTGTACTGAAATCATTGCTTTGGTGATTGAAGTTTTAAGAATCTCTTTTGATGAGGTCAAGATTCAGTTTTTAAAATGTATTTGATAACATTAAACTTTTAACTTCTAAAGACTTTTAAATTGCATTTCATTTCCGAGAAATGAAAAAAAAAAGGTATGATTTTTGTTCAAGGGCACACACAACTACCTCAGCTAATTTGAGTATAATGGAAGACACAATTCAACTGATAAAACCAGCAATGATAGGCAACAGCTTTAATGAAAAACATCATCTGCATTTACTTCATACTGGCATTTTCTTCACTTGTTTTGAGTTGAGTGAGGATATAGCAATTCCTGGTTGTATGAGAAAAGGTTAAAAGAAAACACTATACCTACAAGGATGCTTGGGGTACAGGAGGGGGTTAACTTGTCAGGATTTTGGGTTAGTTCTCAGAAAGCATATTGTGTTGTGTAAGACTCAATAGCTCTCTTAGCTTCTACTTGATTGGGATCTGCTCCCAGCTTAAGGGTGATACATTTCAATATATTGTGAATCACTCTTTCTCTCTTTTTACAGATTTTTTGATATATATTTCACATGCCATAAAATCTACCCATTTAAAGTGTGCAGTTCAGTGGTTTTTAGTACTTTCATAGAGCTGTACAACCATCATCACAACCTAATTTTAGAACATTTTCAACACTCCAAAAAGACAGATGTCTTAAACATCGTAAATTAATACTGTATTAAAAGTCTTTCATGGGCCGGCCCGGTGGCGCACTGGAGAGTGTGCCACTTGGGAGCGCGGCGGCGCTCCCGCCGAGGGTTCGGATCCCATGTGGAGACCGGTTCCTGCTCATTGGCTGAGTGCGGTTCGGGCGCAACACCGAGGGTTGCGATCCCGTTGCCGGTCCCCGGTATGGGCGCGACACCAAGGGTTGCGATCCCGTTACCGGTCAGTAGAAAAGACAAAAACGGGAAAAAAAAAAAAAAAGTATTTCATAACAAAAGTGGTTTTTATTCCATTTTTATCAAAGGAATTTCTCACAAATATAGATGAAATAACTAGATATTCATTGCTAATTCACCAGTTATTAGAGTGATTGGGTTCTAACTCCTAATACAAAGCTTACCTTAAAATTAAAAAAGAAAAGGCTTTTCTGTTTCTGAAAGAAACATAACCAAAAAATACAAGAATGATGTAGTTAATTCATTGACTATTTATTTTCAACTTTCTTCAAAACCCTTAATCACATTTTAAAATTTGAAATTTGATCTCTATCACCAAAATGTTAATGGATTTCACTGCTTAGGAAAGTGTATATTACTAATATGGACTTCTGTTTAAAAACAAAACAACAACAACAAAAAAAACTTGTTTCCAGTGGCACACATTAAGCCGAGGATCCGAGCTTCCCTTTGATGGTTGAGGTGGCATCTCACCTAGAGCCTGGCAGATGGAGTGGGTGACCTCTGGGGACTATTCCTTTTCAGATTTATGTCTATAATAACTTAGATGCCATCTAATCATGTTTCTTTTATTATTTACCATAAAAAGAGTCTGTATAGTCCCCCCTTTTTTAATACTTAAAAAAAAGAATAGGCCTTGGGGAAGTAAACTCAGACAAAGACCAATGAGAGACTGGGTTGAAGGAAAAGAGCCTGATATGAAGGACAGGAGGTGGATGGGGTCAGGGGCAGGAGCTGAAGAAGGGGGATCCTTTCAGAAGAATGGGTTTGAGGGGAAGAGTTGGTTGTTGGTTCTAACATTCCTAAAACCATAATTTCACACTTAACTAATATATGCTTGCTAACAACTGGTATATTTACAACATTGCTTTTCCAAACAAATTTTCATTTATTTCTAGAATTAGAAATTCCTGGTAACTTTCTGACTTTTAACCTTCAGTAGTCTGTAAAAGTTACAGTAGAAAATGAGCTTTATCTTTCGGCAAAAGAATACAGTTTGATGAACTATAGAATCGCATAATTTTAGAGTCGATTCTTTGGCACCTTACTTTCCCTGATGTCTACAACCCAGGGAAAGTAAGAGAGCAGGACATAACCATTCACTCTTTGCCAGAGAATTTTATTAAGTACCTGTTTGTGTTACATGCTTAGTACCATGCACAGTGAGGAAAATGGGCTGTGATGTCCAGAAGCATGTGGTTTTGTTGAGGAGGGAAAATGTTTATACACATAGAATGATTAAATACTGTATAGCAAGGTAGTATGCCAAATTAAAGGTAGTATGCAGAGAGTATAAGAGTCCCTGTTTAGTTAGAATTCTTGGTCTGTGGCCAGAGAGGACCTCAGAGGGTAGAGATCAGTTTGAGGGGAATATAGATCTGATCTGTGCATGCCCTGAATTACTAAGACTGAGAAATGAACTAATCATAAAGAAGAGATATCCTTAGCTGATTGAATTATGCCTCATTCACGGACCAAGCATGTCACACACTGATGTATGTTAAGAAAAACAGCTATTTTTTCTCTTTCAAATAATTACATACCTTGATCTGTAATTCACAAACAATTGTGTATATGATTTCACTCTGTTTACTTGGTACATTTTCCTTTTTAGATCTAAAGGGGTGATTCTCAACATCTCCTCTGCCAGTGGCATGTTTGCAGTTCCACTACTGACCATCTACTCTGCAACTAAGGTGAACTGTATTTTAGTAAGCCACGTCCATACAAGAGTGAGGAATAATTTTTAGTCAGCAATTAATGTAGATTTACCTTTCTTAAAGTTGTGTTCTTGGTAGTCTTCCAATGGACTAAGAAGAAAAAGCAGATGCCCCATGTGAGTTTCAGGAGAGCCAGAGCCGACATATATGGATAGGGGTAAACTTACACGTGGGACACCAGCATATCAGATCCACAGATGCTTTTTTCCCTCCTAATTTGAAAAGTGATTCTTGTACTTCCCATGGATAACTGGCTTAGTCTAGTTAGCTCAGTTGATTAGGTCATGACTAATGAGTCTAAGATTAGAGATGCAATACATGAATAAGTCAGCTTGACATAGCAAAGAAAAATTGCATGCAGTCAGCACGTAAACGTATACAAGGTAAACTGGGTGAGTGTGAATATTTTGCCACATCATCCATAATTCACAGATATTCGTTGTCCCTTCTGGGGTGTGACAAGAATTTTCCAGAACTCTCTGTAAGATGTCGTAATTTCATACAATATCATCATTCACCTCTTCACATTACTACTAGGAAAATAGTTTAGAATGCATTTCTTACAGCCTGCAGGTCAATAGCATCATCTTCAGATACACTGATGATGCATGGAACACATCTTTGAAGTGGGGAAGATGACCATTTGGATGTTGAAATTAGGCAAGCTTTTAAGGAAAAATAAGCAAAATATAATACCCAGTAAGAACTTGCAATACGTCAAGAAAGGAAAAGAACAAAACATCTGTCTTCTTTTTCACTTGAAAAAACTCAGTCACTATTATCTTTTGAAAAAAGATTGGCACCGCCCTCAACTTCTGCAGTCTACTTGCTTTATGTATCTCTGCAACACACAGTAGGCATGTTTAAAATGAATACCATGTTTCTTGAGGTGATTGGTGAACTCCAGCTTCTTACCTGTTCTGCTCTATGGATACAAGACTGTTACTAATTGTGACTCTTGCAGAGTCATTATTGATATTGCCTTTCAAGCCTGAGGTTGAGTCCACATTTGGAAAATGGCACATTATATTTTACAAGTAGATTTAAGACTGTGTTATCAGAAGAGGAGCTGTCACATTCATCTCTACACTTTTTGGATCTTGCCATCTCAAAGTACCAGGAAGATACTTGCTCTTTCCTTTTTAGTGACAACAAAATCCCCACAGAACACAGTGGCAAGTAGAGAGAAGAAATACATCCTTTGTTATATAATATAAAAATATTTTTTCTTGGAAAGTAATTTTCTGGGAAAAAGATAAGAACAGCCTTTTACAGTTAAATAAAACTTTGATCTGGATATTATATTTGGTTAGATAATACTTCATTTAGTGGCAGATGAAAACAACTTGAGGTTTTGAAGTGTTTTTTTAAGGTCTCTTCTCCATTCGAAATGAAGAGAATGATTAGAAATGGTAGTGTTAAATGGTTAGTTTATTATTTTTTATCTCCTTGACTACAAATTAGGGAGATTGATGTAATGTGTGTGTTTTCTCCTCACTCCCACTGCCTCTCAGGCTTTTGTAGATTTCTTCTCTCGATGCCTCCACGAGGAGTACAGGAGCAAGGGCATCTTTGTGCAGGTGAGTGGAGTTTGTTTTAGTTAAGTATTCCTGTTTTTGTGTGGTTTCCACAGCAACTGTTGCTGTCTTGGCAACAATAGAAAATCACATTCCCAAGTGAATGTGACGTTAGCACATCATTAAAGACGTGGTTCCTTTTTCCTTTTATGAACTTAAGTCTACATTTTTAGAAATTATCCCCTAGAATTTTTAAGCAAAGATACCTAAAGTAGAACTAAATGCAATATAAATAGTTGAGGCATACTTATTGTCAGTTCTTATAGCTTTATTTTGAGAGAATCAGACCATCTATATATCTTTTTATTGTGGTAAAAAGTACATAACATAAAATTTACCATTTTAATCATTTTTAAGTATGCAGTTCAGTGGCATTAAGTTCATTCACATTGTTATGCAGCCATTGCCACCAACCATCTCCAGAACCATTTTCATCTCCTGAAACTCTACTCATTAAACAATCTCATTCTCCCCTCCTCCCAGCCCCTGGCAACCACCCTTCTACTTTCTGTCTCTGTGAATTTTGATTACTCTTAGTATCTCATGAGTGAAATACTACAGTATTTGCCTTTTTGTGACTTGTTTATTTCACTTAGCATATTGTCTTCAAGATTCATCCATTTTGAAGCATGTGTCAGAATTTTCTTCCTTTTTAAGGCTGAATAAAATTCCATCATGTTTATACAAAACGTGTTTTGTTTATCCTTTTATCTGTCAGATGGACACTTGGCTTGCTTCCATCTGTTGGCTATTGTGAATAATGTTGATATGAACATTATTATGGGTGTATAAATATCTTTCTGAGACCCTGTTTTCCTTTCTTTTGGATATGTATATGGAAGTGGAATTGCTGGAGCATATGTAATTCTATTTAAATTTTTTTAGGAACTACAGTACTTTTTTGCGTATCGGCTGTACCAGTTTATATTCCCACCAGCAGTGTACAAGGATTCTGATTTCTCCACATCCTTGCTAACATTCATTTTCTGTTTTTATTTTGTTTTGTTTTTATAATAACCTTCTCAATGGGTGTGAAGTGGTATCTCATTGTGGTTTTGATTTGCATTTTCCTCATGATTGGTGATATGGAGCACCTTTTCAGGTGCTTACCGGCCATTTGTATAGCAACTTTGGAGAAATGTCTATTCAAGTCCCTTGTTCATTTTGTAAATTGGGTTTTTTGATTGTTTTCATTGAGTTGTAGGAGTACTTTATATGTCCTTGATATTAACTCCTTATTAGATATATGATTTGCAAATATTTTCTCCCACTCTGAGTTGTCTTTTCACTCTTTTGATAGTGTCTTTTTATGTTTGAAGTTTTTAATTTTGATGTAGTCCAGTTTATCTATTTTTTCTTTTGTTGCTGGTGCTTTTGGTGTCATAGCCAAGAGATCCTTGCCAAATCCCATGTCATAAAGCTTTTCCCCTGTTTTCTTCTAAGAGTTTTACAGTTTTAGTTCTTATGTTTAGGTCTTTGATCCATTTTGAGTTCATTTTTATATAGACCGTTGAGTTTATTATGTAGCTAGCAGATAAAATACTATGAAAACACAATACAAAATATGAGCGGAAGCAAATGTAGGAGTTTATGGGTATCTATCTCAAGTCAGCAATTGTTCAACCCGAAGAAATAATGGCTCACAGTATTTCCATGCTTAGGTGCATTTTTAAAAATGTCTTAGGAGAAGTTGCAGTTCTTACCTCTTTCCTGCTCCTGCCCATCACCTACCTCACCTCTACACATATCTGTGTTCACTGTGGCTTGCACTACTATGAGCCTAGTATTTCACTTTTTGTACCGTGAAGCCCCAAATGATCAATCAAAGTAATAATGGTGAATATTTGAGTGGATACTTTTCAGGTACAGTGCTAAGCACTTTATATGTGTCATTTTACTGCATCTTATAATGATCCCATAAGATGGTATGATTATCATTTTTGAAAAAGATGCAGAAATTGGGGCTCAGAGAGGTTAAGCCACTTGCCCATGTTGAACCAGAACTCAAATCTAGGTCTGTACCAAAGCCTTTGTTCTTAACCCTTAGGCTACTTGCTCCAGGCCTGTAGGACAGCATTCAACATTTACTAGATCCATCTGTGATCAGGCAGTGATGGACCAGAGAGTGCTTGGCTGCTTAGTTCCATTTCCTTCTTTATATCTGTAGATGGGCCTACGTGTTATCTAGATCTAGCTTCTAAACCATTTCATTCTGAATAGATACTAGAGCTAAATCACCTACCATGAGAGAGAGTGGTAATGAGAAGAAAGGTGGAATGAATGTTTCCTCATCTGCCAGGGTCAACTTAGAGCCTGCTTCCTCTAATCCCCACTTGAGCTTTTGCCCAAAGGACCCTAGATGTCATAGCCCTTTGGTATTATTTTGGTTTATGGCTTCCCATATGTGTAGGGTACCCTGGGGAGGACAGAATTTTCTAGAATACTGGATTTTATACTGAATTACTATACTCTCCTCCCTTCCTTCACACTAGTCGTTTTAATGCTGGTAGCTCAAATCTGGTATGTATAGTGTGTTGTATTTTGGTAACAAAGAAACCAGTAAAGCATTTGAGGGAGGTAAGACACCACATGCCATGCAGTGTTATACCATTTTCTTTCCAATGAATCTATTGCAATCAAGCGATTAATTTAATTTTTAAATACCTACTGAGACTAGGTAGGAATCCTAAAGGGCCATTGGTAGGTGACCTACAGGTGGAGTGACCAGAATCTGCAAATGCTTCAGTGACACAAGGTAGTATAAGGTTAGGCGGAGCACAAACAAGCAATTTCTAAAATCCTGTTAATAGACAGGACTGTCTCCTCTCTGATTCCAATAGCTTATTTCCCCCAAACATCTTTTCAACAGATTCTCTGCCTATGAATCTGATGAGACTAGAAGCTACTACAAAAATGTTAGCATTTGTCTTCTGAAATATTTTACTTTGATAAATTTTTATTTTTCCCTAATAATTAATTATAAATTATGTAATTTCATCAGTCGTTTTATATATATATATATATAATTTTTTTTTTTTTTTGTCTTTTTTTTGTGACCGGTAAGGGGATCGCAACCCTTGGCTTGGTGTCGCCCACACCACGCTTAGCCAGTGAGCGCACCAGCCATCCCTATATAGGATCCGAACCCACGGCGAGAGTGCCACTGCGCTCCCAGCACTGTACTCTCCCGAGTGCGCCATGGGGTCGGCCCAGTCATTTTATTTCTTCATACAAATTCATTCAGCGTTTAAACTTAGAATGAATTTGTTAAAAAAAAAATAAATCTCAGGTTTTTGTGAGGGAAAGTACCATTGTCATTTCTGTGTGAACATATATCTCAATGCTGAAGTGGAACAGAAAGAGAACCTATTGATTTTTCTTTGGTGGTGTTTTTTGCCCACAAATTCTTCAGACTAGGAGTATTTATCAGCTAATTCCACCTTTTACTCTATCCTACGTATATTTCCTGAGTGATCTTCTTAAAATACAAATTGGATAATGTTGCTTTCCCTCATAGTCCCCCAGTGCTACCCATGAATTTTATGGTTAAATTCAAACTCCACAAAGCCATCTCATCTTTTGCCACTCTGTCACCCTCCCTCCTGTTCATGCCAGAGTGGACATCATGGTGTCCAGTACGTGCTCTGCCCTCTGAAGTACCCACGCCTGGCTCCTCTGCTGCCATCCCTTTTTCCAACTCCTTTCTCACCATATCTCCTCTCTGCCCCATTCTCTCATGAGCTCTGTGACCCGGTCCATCTTTCAAGGCTGAGGTCATGGTTCCTCTGCCCCAAGAAACCTCCTTTCAGCCCCTTGGCACATTTGGTTACACCTTTCCTTCTGCTCTATCTTCTTATATACCTCTGCCTGCTACTCTCTGACCCTTCCCTTTCTCCTCCACTTCAACGTATTCTTGAGAACAGGACTTTTTTTCTTGTTTGTCCTTGTGTTGCTAGTGGCACATGTAATCTGTCGCACACTAGAAACCTGCCTTTTGCAAGGCATCACAGAGGACTCTGGTTGGGCATGGTCATGCTTTGCGGTACACAAGCATCCATTTTGAAGGCCTCCTGAGCTGCTTCTGTTTCTCCCATATGCTGCTGGACTTGAGTTTTCAACCTGTATACCTGGATGGCTTCCAGGCTAATGTTATGTTGCCAAGTTTCTGGTTTTTTTCTAATCTTTGGAAGGAAAGCTGTCTTTTTAGTTCTACCTTCATGTGAAGATTGCTCTTTGGGGGGAGGAAGAGAGTATATTTTTCAAATTCTAGACTTTTATATTAATTCCTAATTAATATTTTCTCTTTGCTTTTCTCTCCCCATCTTTCCCTCAACTTCTTTCCTATAATTTTATAGGAGCATTTAAAATTTTCTTCAAGAATTCAGATTTGCCATTGTAGAAGCATTTCCTGGAAGTACAATAATAAACAGTAGCAACAACAAGTGATATAAATGCCCTCATGGTGAATTATGGGTCTGATGGACTCTGTCTATTGATTTTGAACAGAAGATGGCAGGCATATCTCCAGTAAACCTTATCAAAAGTGTGCTCCATTGGTGAGGACTATTTGTTCTCATTCTTACCTTATAACTAACACCCAGTCCAAACTATGCTTAATCTTTCAAAGGGCAAAATCATAAGTAATCTGACTGGCTAGGCAGTGGACCCTAGTCCCAGCTCCTTCTGTGTGCTCTGTACTGATTAGCCATTAATGCTGGGCAAGTATGATGTAGCTAAGACTGAGACTAAATCCTAAAACCATGCCTCCTGAACTTTTATTCTTCAAAACTCTAACAAGCCTTCTTGTTTTTTAAAAAAATTTTATTTGGAAATAATTTCAAATCTACAGAAAAGTTAAAACAATAAAAATCGTACAAAGAATACCTTAATACCCTTTGCCGAGATTGACTTATTGATAACATTTTACTGCATTTGTCTTATCATTGAAGAGTAAGTTGCATACATCATGGTCTTTCACCTCTAAATACTTGAGTTTGTATTTC